GAGCAGGCTCCTTCCAAACCAGAGGTGCACAGATGTCCTTAGCTGACAGGCAGCCGCTCTAAGAAATGCAGAGAGAGCACGATGGTGACACAAGGACATGGGGTGTCTGCTTTGCCCTCGGTTCTCAACTCCAACGTGCTCCAGGCATCGGGGGACCTGCACTGGTCCCTCTCCTGGATTACAAATTAAACCCAGGTGACACTGAAAGCACCGGGTATGGGGGAGGCGCACCTGCACGCAGCCGTGCGTTTGTCCGACAGGCCACTCCCCAGTCTGGGTGTCTCCAGCGCAGACGGACCAGGTTTCCGTGGACACCTGCAGAGGTGAGGAGCAGCACTCAGGGGCACGACAGCAGATTCCTTGACACCCTCTGCGAATGGCTGCCAACGCAGAAGGATGCCTGTAGAAAGCTCCCCAAGCTTTCTGACAGAGCATATTTTAGGATCAGATTCACACTGGAAGCGCAACCCAGAACTCTTTTTCACAAAGTCAGCCACCTTTGGTACACTAAGAGCGACTGGTAAAATAAATACACGTCTCCTTTGAATTAAGTGTTTCATCTTTTTATTTTAAAAGAAGGAAGGATACCAAGAAGCAGAAGGGGGAAGCAGTTAAAACCAGCAAAGCTGCCAAGTAGGAAAGAAATCGAAAGAGAAATGGACCAGATTTCAATGATACGGTTGCTTAATGCCAAGGCAGGGGTCGGACGCCACAAACCTGTCACAGAGTCCGGTGACGTCAGCGGGCTCGCTGACCCATCAAAGTGACGGAGCAAGGCCCCTTTCTGCTGCCTCTCAACTGTACACAGTCTAGACACACGTCATGCACGTACAGGTTACACTTCGTGGTTACATGAAATTGCATGCGGTTCACACAGAGTCATTTTGAAGGCACTGGATTGGGCAGCAGAAGCTGCCGCTTCCTGGCAAGTCTTTCCTACGTCGTCTGGCGGCTGGTCTTCCTTTTTATTTATTCCTTTTTGGAACTTTGGTGCAAAACCCAGGTGCTGTTTAATCCTACCTACCCTGCCCACTCTGTTCCTTTCCCGTCTCACCCTCGCTCCCACTTCCCCTCCTTAAAGGTAGATGCCAAGCTTAGAAGATGCTGTTTCCTGACAATAAGATCTTGTTTTAATTGGATTTACAGATGACTTGAGTCAAAGAGCAATTTACTATTTGTTGCTTTAAAACAAACTGCTACCAGTGTCTTTTACTCCTGAAACTCAGCAAGGCCCGTATGCCAGAAATTCCACGAGCGAGGACACACGAGGTTCCATGTGCACATTAAATAATTTCTCATTCTAGTTAAAATATGGCCTTCTGTGTTTAAGTCAGCTTTAACTTTAAAAGTGTTATTTCGGTCCACGCTGCCATAAGAGAATCGTGCCCAGATTACAAAGCCCCAGATTCATGGGACGCACGCGTTGACATCCTTAGTAAAGAAGAGCGCTCTACAGGCTCTTTTCAGGACGCGAACACACATTTCTACTTTTAACATTTATAGCAAAGCAAGATAACATGAGAGACTAACCCATTTGGACCGAAGAAATTCACCTTAAATGTTATCTACTGTGCTGTACTGTAGGCTTTTGGCCTGCCAGCTTGGTAGGTCTGAAAAGGACAATGTATTTACCATTGCAAACCTCGTAATGGAAACGGTGTCTGTGGCTCTCTGACCAGAAGGGCTCATTGTAACTCCCCAACCTTCAAAAACCAAAGGAAAAGCACCAAGAAAGCTTTCCTGCCGTGCGCTCACTCCGGTGCGCATCCCGGCTCCCCAAGGGCCAGCAGAAAGCACACGGACGTGCTTCCCATTCAGGTCAGGGAAAGAAGGCAACAGAAAGCTTCAAACTAGAACTACGGGGTGGACTTCGGCCTGAGTCCTGCTCAGCCACAGCAGGTCCGGCTGGCCCTCCCTCCCCCTCTCTCTCCATTTCCGGCTACAGACGAGACAGACACTTTCAGTGTGTTTCCATAATTTCAGGCGCACAGAGGCCTCCTCTGTCTTACCAAGCAAACCAAAAAAGAATTTCTCTGAAAATAGGGAAATAGTGTAATTGAGTATTATAGAATATTTCCCATCAACTACAGATGCCTCAAGACAGAATTCTCTTTCTAGCTCACTCACTTTGTTCGAAACATTTCATTTTCCCAAAAAAAGAAAAAAACACACATCACAAAAAGCACATCCTACCGCTAACTAAAAAGGAACCCATCACCCCCCCCCCCCAAGCCCACCGAGAACTGAAGCGGAAGGGGCTGCAGGACAGTGATCCCCACCTTCCCGCTCACCCTCTCACCTCGTGCCAATTAGCTCCATGTTCTTAAGATCAAGCAATGGCTCAGAGCAACGTTCACTCAAACGCCACAGAGGACTGCCCTGGTGTAAGAAACTGCTGTGACCGTGTTTTGGATTAAAATGAAGAACTAGGAAAAAACGACAACTTGTATAAGAAGAAGGGCAGAGAGGGGAGGGTAATGTTCCTTTTTCCCTCGAAGACAACAGTGACAGAACAGACGACAGCCCAGGAGGTTCAGGGGATATGAAACCGCCCAGGTGTGTTCCTCCTCAGGGCTGCTTCCCGCCATCCAGCTCTGCAGGGTGTTTACTTACAAACAGCTCCTGGGCCAGGAGAGTTGAAAGGACTTGCGGTCACTGAGATATCACAGTTGGAGCATGGGTCTCATGTCTCCTGGGATCCTGTCACATTACTACAGTCAGTCTATCTGAACGGCAGGCTGTGCTTCCAGGCCAGGAGGGCTGTGGACGGGAGATTGCAGCAGACGCCTGTATCCCAACCTGGGAAGGTGCACAGACGATGCCAAGAGCAACCACGTGCAGCGCACCACATCAACAACACTTCCTACCACACTGGTGACCTCCAGCCATCAACTCATTGACTTGTCCTTACTGTTCACTCCTAGGAGGTACGTCTTTCAGTGAACGGGATCTAAGATTTCAAAATAATCAAGATCAGAGAGCAAAACTCAGGCCTTTTTCCCCTTGGATCAAAAAGAAGAAATAAACTAACCAGTAGCTGCAGGGGAGACACTGAATGAAGAGGCGCAGAACTGAGTGTCAGAGGAGGAGGGGACCGTCGAGACGAGGCTGGGCGAGGTTAACTGCCCTGCCCTGCGCTCTGACAGCTGCCTCAGCAGCCGGGTGCATCCAGTGACGGGCCCACAGCTCCAAAAACGGGAGGAGCAAGGCGGCAGAGCGGAGGACAGAGAGCATCAAGTCTCAGCAAGGGCTGAAGAAGTGGATTAACTCAGAGTCCTGGAAGAAGGTTGACTTCCAGGAACGAAGCTATTTCACGTGACCAAATACTACCCCTCAGACTTCACTTGCAGCCACTGAAACTTAGAAAGATGAGGTATCTCTGATAAGGAGACCAAACTGTAAATTCTTGGCTCGGGCCTGAAACTCCCACCCCCTTGGCAATAAATAAGGATAAGAGAAAATGATGCCAGATTTAATGTGGCTTTCTGCTGAAAAGCTAAACCCTCCCAATGCTTTTCTGAGCAGGGACTCCTTCTCTCTGAGGCTTGTGACCGAGTCAGTGCCTAGTACCAGCCCTTCGAGCGCTGTTCCGAGGTGCAGAACGAGCTTGGGTCTACCCAAATTCATCAATGCTCAACCGCCAGCCCTGCGGCCATCAAACGGGGCTCAGGTTTCTTTACATGCTAAGTGGGTCCACCACAGAGAAGGGGCAAACCTCAGACTCAAGGAGTCAAGGGAGACCCCGACATTTAAAACACCCAAAGCCAGGGCAGGCAGAACCAACCCAGTTTACACCCGAGGTCAACCCACGGCCGACAATGGAAATCCCAAGTCGATATTTCTCACCTAAAATTTAAATGAAGCAAATTGATAGACGTTCTAAAAAAAAATGCCTTTCATCTTTAAAAAAGGCCCTTAGAGGTCCCACGGATATTAAGGCTTTTTAAGAAGCACATTTTAAAAAGCCTTCTGTGACATATTTCTTTCTTTGGTTACAATAGCATCTATTTTAAGTGTAAGACGAGAATCTATTTTCTCGGTTTCTGTGGATTTGAATGGAAACTTTCGGACCTGATGGAGCATTAAATATCCCTCAGTGTAAACCTCTATCAAGGCCGATGTCTTTTCTTCTAAGTGCTATTTCCTGTGTAATTCAGAGGACTGCCTGCTAGCTTTCTATATATCCTAAACCTGCTTGGAAGAACCATTTACTAACAACTAACTAAACAAACCCGTAACATTCTTCACTGCCTTTATTAGTGATTTCTTCTTTATACATAATTTTAAATTCTGTTATCTACTGCTAAAGAAATCATTCTCGGAACTGGAGAGAGAAAGTTAAATCAAATTTATAACATGATAAACTATGAGGTTGCTGTTTACATACAGATTTTTTAATGGAATAAATGCAAAGTGAGTCCTTTAATGAAATACTAAGATTTTCTAATAATTTTTATTAAGATGGAAAGCTGTATTTTTTACTCACAACTTAACTTTAGTGACAGACGGCTGAATTTAGTGGCCAGTTCCCTGGTATATTTGAGTTTCTCAACTACCAGGAGTCACAGGCCTTTAAAAAAATGAGCGAAAGGGGAGCCCTTTTCAGACGTGTATTTTTTCTCCTTCCTCCACCCGCCCCCCACCTGCGCCCTACAGGCCCACACCAGGCGCCTGCAGAGACTCCGCCCTCCACCCCATTTCTGAGTAGTCAACATGCTTGGTAGAAGTGGGGCACAGCTCAGTGCCTAGGGTCTTGGGGCTCAGACACTTCACTCAAGTTTCAGCTTTATTCTCTATGTTAAATTAATTGGCAAGTATTTGAGGCCTGCTACATGCCTGGGACGAGGGTAACATTTCTGTTTATAGAGCTTATGTGCAATGGACAACATGTATAACAACTGACAGGAAAAGTCATTTTCTCGCTTTCTCAATCTTCACGTATATAGATTTAACAGAAAGAACTGATCAATGTCGCAGTAATTTTTTTAACATCCTAAGTGTTTATGACCAAGTTATTTATTTACCCTCTCACAAGGATTGTTACTTTATAAACTATTTAGAAAAAAAGACAGATAAATGGACAGAGTTCAGATTTAAGCAGTTTTCAAATATACCTCCTTACCCCAAGAATCCGTCTGCCTCTTACATGAACTCGTCATTAGCATTCAACAAAAGATTTACTCTAGAACTCTGTGTAGGTTGACACTGAATATCCCTAAACCATCCTAAATTTACTCTTTCAATATTGTTTTTTCTAATCAATTTTAGACTTCTTTCAAACTGGAAGGTTTCACTTTTCCAGCATCATTAACATAGAAAAATCTCTTTGATTCTCAAAAATTACCTAGAGACAACCCAAAGGGAACAAACCTAATCCACAACCCTATTTGGATGCTGGGAACAGAGGAAACCTGCACTACAGACCTCAACGCACTGGCTCGTCTGAACAGCCTTTCTTGGAGGGGTACCCACTCTAGCTTCTTAAAAGCAAACGTTCTCCACGTCTCTAGGTAGCCAAAGGTGCCCAGAACAATTTTATTCACTCAGATTCACAAAGATTCCTTATACATACTTCAAGTTTTGACTTCAAAAGCATTTAAGTAGAAATATTAAATGGCTTTTCAGGAAAAGTCAGAGGTATTAAGCATCACTAATTTCCACATTCTCATGGGTTAAATTCCCATTCCTTGGAGCTTTCAAGAGATGGACAGATATAAATTCATCTTTCTATTATAAACAAAAACGGAACTAGCAGGATCAGGTTTGGAGCTTCAGAGTGAACGCTAGTATAAATGTCTTTAGGAAAGTGGATTTTATAACAGCTACTTAAAGGAACTAAGAGCTCCTAGAGAGTTCTTTCACACTGCATGCTTTATATGATGTCATTTTTATGCTTACAATCGATAGAATTTAAAGAGTACTGGGGTTATGAAGTTACGATGGCTACAAAAAAGAAGGACAGAGATCCTGCAGCCTCCTTTGTAAACTGTGCTTCCTCAGACAGCACTACTTAGAATGTAAGGCCAGTTCTGCACAATGGCACTGAAAGGATCTACAAACTTAGGAGGCGCAAAAGTTGCAGCAAGGCAAACTGCAAAAGCGGCCATCTGTTACTTCATTCATTCTCGAACGGGAAGAAGTGACTTTAGTTTGCAGACAAACATTCTGACTTACATATGAAAGGAAGCAAGAACCTGAGACAGGACAGAGAGAAACACCAGTTGATATTTTTAGAACTGTGGCTGTGTAACGAATGACAAGAACACGCCCTCCATGAGGAGTGGAGAGGACAGCAGAGGGAACATCCGGGTCTGGAAAAGGAAAAAAGACAAGGACCACTGTATTTCTAATGAAGGCATCAGAATTTTAAAATGGAACTCAAAATTAATCCTTCATAAGGGTCAGATAAAAAGTACGGTTGCTAATACGTAGATTTCCAGAAATTGGCATGATGTATGAATAACACCACAGAGACAGATTTCACTATATTTAAAGTTCATACTCGATAAGGCCCTTTACCACACAATGTCCTTTATACCCTGCAAATACATAAAGGAAGATTTGAACTGTGTAAATGAGCTTAAGCATCTGAGTATGTTGTAGAACAAAGCAGAGCAAAATTAAATATTTATCATTCTCTTGACTGTAAGAGTAAGACAGTGTGTCAAGCTGGGCCAAGAGAAAATAAGAACCAAGAGGAAACACCCAAAAGTTATTTCAAACAAAAAGTAGATACATTACACACATTCCCTTTGTATACATTACTTAGTATTTAAGACTTTTATGAAATCTTTAAAGAACAGTGGTGTGATACGTAAACTTTGAAGTAATGAAGTCGTGGACTTTAAAAAGTGTTCTTCACATTCAATATAACTTATTTGAGAACCAACAGATTATTTCAGATGATTATCTAAGTGTCACAAACAAGCAACATGTATATACCGCAATTTTATTTCAATCGCACAAACGAAGTTAGCGTGTAGGAAATTTAAATGAAACAGTACGGTAAAAATAGCAGAGAACCGAAAGATCTAAACAGGAAGTACACCTAAAGCATGAGAATCCGACATTCATTAGTGTTTCATCTTCAGTTTTGAGTGACACTTGATGCTCGCAAATTTCGAAACAAACTTTGAAACCGTGATGTCTGTTCTGAAGAGATTTCAGCACCAGCACTAAGATTTGTACATTCAGTTGGTTTGCATTGACTGGTTAGCCATTGACAGAGCGTATGGTACAGATTTGTCACAGGTCAGATCACAGTGTTGAGGGAAGAAGTGCCTTCCTGTAATGAAAAAGGGCCCCTGAACTTCGCTCAGCGTAAGACATCCAATGTACACGAGCACGAAACCATCGGAATAAGGGGTTCCAAGGAACACAGTTTTGAGGAGGAAAATAACTTAAGCTTCTGTTTCCCATTTTAATTACTGAAATCTCTAACAATGACAAAACTGTCACGCCTGACAGTAAATATATAGAGTAATTCAATCAAACCTCTTGGAAAGAACACAGTTAGCAATCTGGGATAATGCAAAATGATGGAAAATAGAATGTGATTCGACACTGGTTCTTTTTGTCATTTTACACAGACATCGTGTCAATATTAGACCAAGGCACAAAACGTTTAGTGCATAAACCGGTTTCTTTTAAGATCTACCAATTTATTGTAGTCTTTTACCTTACTTTGGACCACTGTACCCAGTACTCTATCCTACCATAGACTATTTAACTTAACCAACAAAATCGAAAGTGATTTCTGACCAGATTTATAGGGGACATAAACGTTTGTATCATTAAAGTGTTTGCATAACCAAAAGTACAATAATAAAGATGAAAATGCCTCCTATTTCTTTTAGAAAATAGTACTTATAAGCCTTCACTACTATTGCATGACGGTGAATAGTTTATAGAAAAAAGAACTGTATTATTGAATTATGATAGCTCATCCATCACAGATTAATCTCAAAATGAAGTTTCTACAGAAACAAGAACTATTTTAACAAGGAAAAAATATTCCCTCATTCCAACCTCTCTGCAGTGGTAGTGGCTGCAGAAGGGCAGCATTTAGAAAACTATGCTATCCACAAGCTCTGTCCTTATGAACCGAGAGGTAAGAAATCTAGAAAGCAGATGAAAATGGATTATGTCTCCAAAATTTTAGTAGAACTTCTGATAATCAAAGATTTCAAAGCAAATATGGCACATAACAACTCAAGCATAAATCAAGATGGAGAGCCTGGAGAATTTCTGATTTCCTAAATTTTCAAAAAGAAATCTATCATTGCAACATACAGGATTTCTCCCCTATTTTAATCTTACGAGTTTCGAAGAAAAGGGAGTGGATTACATACATGCCTGCCTGCGCACACCCACACGCACGCGCACACAAACACGTGCGCACCCACACAATGAGAACTTGGGTGTCTAATTCCTCTTCCCACCACCTAAGTCTCGCTTTATTTATTCAAAGAAAATCATGAAGAAGTCTTCATTGGTTTCCCTTTACCTAATGATTTCTGAGATCCTAAGGGCTGCCATCATTGTTAACTCTTGTATTTCAACATAACAAAGTTCAAAAGCAGCTTCGTTGTCAGGAACATGTACCTGGACACCTGTACAACTGCAGGGCCCCGAGGGGATGGCAACCGCCAAACCCGGGGTCGAGCCTCTGAGCTCCACAGTGAGAGGGGACTCGGGAAGCTCAGAGTCACGTTTCAGACCATCGAAATTACTGAAGTTAAAATACAAATAGCTGAAGACATGATGTAACAGATTAAGTACTTGGTTCTGTTAACATATTTACCAATTAAAGTCACAAAATATTCCTCATTATTATTCATGCAGGTAATTGAGAAAAAAAGATAGTGCAGAAGTTAACTTTAAATAAAAACTTATTCCTTCCCTTCCTCCCACTCCCCTATACTCTACAAAACGATCTCCCTGGGACTAGGCCTTGCAAAGGCCACTACGTATTAGTGTGACATGCATTACTGTCTGCAATTAAAAAAGCTAACTTTGTGGTGGTTGTAATTACGTTATAAAAATGTCCACATGCATAAATCTAAAAAAGGTTGAAAACCTACAGTAAATCTACAATATATTGTTTTACATTTGACCACTGGTTTGTGTTATGTAGGAGTCATAGATTTGGTAAAGCATTGTAACAATTTAGGAAGGCATCTAAATCTTTAAATTCTGGACGAATTTTATGTTTTAATCTACAAAATTGCATGAAGGCTAACTCGAGAGACTTCCTATCATTCTAAAATTCCTCAAGCTGGACAAGTCATTTTTAGGATACTTTCTGATAAATATCACCCTTGGAAAGCACATACAATTCCATTTGTTCCACATTTTATGATCTTAACCTACATCTCAATTATTCATGGAATATCAAATATGATAGGAAGACAAACCTGAGAGAAACATTTACAATACAATAGCATAACTTGCTAAATTCTTCATCAGCGCTCTCTGAAAAACACTTCTTAAGCCTTTTTCTTCTTTATTTTAGCAATGGACTGTGGGAAGTGTGCAATTTTTTTCTCGACATGAAAATATTTCAATGCACGGTGATCCTGTCTGACGGGTTTAGTATTTTCTGCATAACTGTCGTAGGAACTCTTACATGACTCTCTTCCATCCTGTTGAAAAGGTCAGAAAAAAGCAGCAAACTGGGAGGGAAATAGCTTATCACCAGAGTAAGAATGTCTGAAGGCTTTCAAACACGTTGGTTTTTCCCTCCTTCTGACTGTTTGTCTCCATTTTCTTCTTACAGCTCACAAAATCTAGGGGTTTGTTGTTTGTAGGTTTTTTCTTCTTTCTCCAGATTAAAGTCCTCTCTTCTCCTTAGTTTGTGGCTCTACGCGGTATTTGACTTGCTCAGTTCCTGCCTGATTGCTGGTAGGAAAAGGAAAAGTATTGAAAGCAAATATAATGATAAGGTAAAATAAATGAGTAATTCATTTTTAAGAAATGTTCATGATTGCACTCAAACTCCCAGTAATAAAAAGATACTCTGACCTTGCATCTTTCATTGCATAGACCTTTGTTTTCTTACCACAAAGATGACACTAATTTCTCTATGTGTGTATTTATTTATTCTCTCCCTTTTGTATACAAAACGAAAACACTGATTCTGTGGGCTCAAAACCAAGAGGCAGTGGGGTGGGATGGATGAGGGGAGGTGACCTAGAGAAAGGCTGGTTTGCCTGGCTTTCCGTCACCTGGAACTTAGGGATCTTGTTGGTCCCTAGTTTTACAAATGATTTCAATTAAATGAAGGAGCGAGAGATCCTCCCTCACACCCTCAGCCAAGCGAAGGGCAGGACACTGGCAAAGTAATTGTTTTATGCCCTCAAGTAATCAACTGGACACTTCCTTATCTGCATTTTCTTAAAAATGGCTATTTCTTAAACATCACTCTAGGGGCAGAGAATTTTTTTCAACACTCACCATCAATGAGTTCTTCTTTTAGCTTCGTTAATTCTTTTCTCATTTCATCTAAAATGTCCTAAAATATTAGAGAAAAACATCAGGAATACAGGAAAAAAAATACTGCTAAAAACACTCTTCTTCATATAAAATTTTAAGAATGTATGAAATACGACATGGGTTTTTTGTTTCCAGAGCCACACTTATGTCCTAGAAGACTAGCCTTGGTAAATTTAACAGTCTTCCCTTCCCAATCTCTGCTTATTCTGGCCTAGCCAGATATGAAACAGAATGGTTTCTCAAACTAAAATAATTACTCTGCCATCCAATGAAAGGCATGATTCAGATAATTTCTGGAAAAGACAATAGCTCTGCTTTTAATCTAGTCTTCTGGGAGCAGACTGAGAAGTGATGCAGAAAGAACTTTCAAGGAAGACAAGTCAACTGGACAATGAGCTCTTGGCACATCTGTCATCTGGACTGAAGTATGGTGATTCCTTAGGGGTCACCAAAGCTGCCAGATTATGTTTCCAGGAATCTAGGATTCCCCTGGAGGGTCCTCAGGGGCTGCTCAAATAGATGGAGATTAGGTGGATGGGATCCTCCTGGACCCGCTCTGTCCAATATGGCAGGCACCAGCCACACGTAGCTACTGAGCACTCGAAAGGGGCTCGTCTGAAATGAGATGCTCTGTAAGTGTGAAATATACACCAGATCTCAAAGATCTAGTATGAAGAAAATAATGCACAATAACTCATTAGCAATTTTAAAATATTGATTACATATTGAAATATTATTTTGGTTATATTAGGTTAAATAAAATATATTAAAATGAATTTCACCTGTTTCTCTGTACTTATTTCATGTGGCTACTAGAAATTTTAAATACTTCTGTGGCCCATGTTACAGTTCTATGTATTAGTGATGCTCTGGACCCGCCTTCCTCCATGAAAACCACTCCATCTTCATATTTTTTGCAAAATCTCTAAGTTCAATTTGAAATAATGGACATTCTCCAATTAAAAATGATCAAGAACTGTATAATATGGAAGCTAAAAGGGCTACATGACAAGGTGACAAAGTTTTAATGAGTGAAAAGAACATCTATCCTTCGGAGGGTTAGGTTCGAATTACGTGACTTCCTTTAGTATTGCACGTCTCAGGTAAAATGAAATTGCTCTGTGCTAAGCTTCATTTTTTTTAAAAAAACTTTCCATGTTTAAAATAAGGTTGAAAACTATCAATTAGTTTAATCCCTCCATTTCACCAGTGAGGAAACTGAGGCACAGAAATTAATACATGAACTAACAGATATACTTATTAAGATTAATCTTAAAATCAGTGCTAAAATCAAATCTATCCTCTCTTTTACTCCACTACTTCAGATAGCCAAGAACGGACCATATTTTAAAGTGTGTGCAAGTGCTTTATTTTAAAACATTTTGCAAGAAAAGAAAGCCATATTTAATACACAGGAAAACAAGGGCTTGATCATCAATGACCACACGGTTCCTTTTCAAATTATATAACTCAACTTAATTTTTCAAATAGTTTTGCAGTATAAAAATTAGGTTTATCTGAAATTACTGTTAGTATTTCTCTTTTTAATTGCTATTTAACTTGTATTTTGAACTCACATTACTACAAAATTATTGGTCCCTTTTTGAGTTCCAATTAAACACCTGCTAGTGTTTTAAACAATGAGTGATGGAATGGGGAAAATGGGCTTTGAAGAAAGATTTGGGCTCTAATCCTGACTCAAGTACTTACTTAGCTGTGGAACTGAGTAAATTTAACTTCTCTGAACCTTAGACGTGCAGAAATTGAGTAGAAACATGACACGACTCCCATTAGGATTAGGAGACAATGTCACGTGAGAACCCAGCAAATGCCTGGCACTTACGTCCACCAGACAGTCAATAAATGGTTGTTTTGGTGATGAGAATAACCCCTATTTTCAGAGGCCATCCTGAAGGGCAGGGTGACAAGATGGAGATTAAATTCTGCATTACAGGCCCATCTGTACTCAGGTCTGCAAAACCGAGAGCCGTTTTACTAAGATGCACTGCCTTCCATTTCAAATCTTTTTAACACTACCAATTTTTAAAAAAACATTATTTTACCTCTTCTCGGAATAAAAGCTGCACAATCTCATCAGCTATCACTCCTTCCACTTTTTTCCCCTGAGTACACAGGTATTAAATATAATGCATATGTATCCAAAATAGGGACACCACCTTTTTTCTTCTTTATAAAGTTGAGATAATTGTCCGTATAGTTTGGTTACCTGTTTCCCCTAACACGAGAAAGTGTTCACAATTCACTGTTCACTCTTCTCAGTCACGATTCCCTAACGCTGCAGGGCCCTCCCACACGCTGTGTATTCATATATTTCTATGGTCTTGTCTCAGCATCAACTCTTGGAAGTGAAACTGCTGAGTTCAAGGGTAAGACATTTATTTTTAAGGCTTTTGAATGTTTTCCCAAACTGCAAAGTGCCCATTTTTGCCAATGATAAGTGAAAAGTGCAAGCCTTTTTTTTTTTACACAACTATACACCAGGCACTCACATTTAAAGTTCACAGTGCACCATTCAACCAGTGCGCCCACCCTCCACCACTGTTGGAACTTTATGTGAACTCACTGACGCAAAACATGAGGATTGAAAAAGGCAATACAGTGCTAACGCCACTAATGTTTAATTTGTATAAAAATGTCTTAACTCTATATTCTTTTCAAGTACATTCATGATCTGTCAAATATACGCGTGTACATTTCTTAAAAAGAAACAAACAAAGGGGAGTTGCCACGGAGCACCCACCTGCTTCAGTCTGTCGTAGTCCAGCCCCTCCGTCTGGACTCCGTTGGCACTGGGCTGGGACGAGGGTGCAGATTTGGGTCTGTACAAACGAGATTTTCAGGACAGGTAAACAACACTTAGGATATTGAATGAGTTCATGAACAACTGCAAATTTACCAAACCAACACCAGATTTAAGTACAGTTCTTAAATCACACTGTGTTAAAAAGTTAATTGTCAAAGCTGCAGGACTGATTAGAACATAAAGCAGAAAATATTTTTCACTTTTCTCAGTACTTTCAGTTATTTGTAAAGAAATCAGAAAGAGGCGATGAGATGACGGGACTCCTTCAGTAAAGAGTAGAAGATAGTGTCCTCTGGGCACGAGGCAGGTGACCAGGAGAGGTGAGCGTGCTGATCAAGACAGAGGTGAAAGGCCAGCTGAATACCCGAGGCCCACGGACACAATCTCATTTTCTCCTTCTTTTGAAATTGTGCATTGTCTACTAAATATCTGGAAAACCAATGGAAGGGAAAATATAAAGACTTGAATATTTTACACCAATATGGATCAGTTTGCAAATTCTAGGCCTTAATTTTCAGGAAAAAGGCATTTTAGTAAGCATGATTTCTCTGTATATGCTTTATTCCATTTCAAGCATCAAAATAAATAAGAATGTTGGAAAAGTGATTATTAGATTAAAAGTATATTTATCTTGGGGCCAGCCCGGCAGCAGAGCCATTGAGTGTTCACACTATGCTTCGGTGGCCCAGGGATTGCGGGTGTGGGTCCTGGGTGTGGACCTACACACACGACTCATCGAGCCATGCTGTGGCGGAGTCCCACATAAGAAATAGAGGAAGACCAGCACAGATGTTAGCTTAGGGCCAATCTTCCTCACCAAAAACAACAAAACAAAACAACCTATATTCATCTCCAATTGGCTATGTGGCCAGTTCCAGATAAAGTTTTTATGGAGATGTCATCTGAATAGTGTTTCCAACTATTTCCATAAAATTATTTTGTTTAAAAAAAAAAGGAATGCCAGACAGAAGCAGACTGTCAATTATTATTACACTTTCAAAAGTTTAGATGCTATTAAAAATTTTACATGAAGAAATAAGTCTTAGGGATTGGGTACTTTCTTTGTTTTTTTTAATAAGATTTTATTTTTTCCTTTTTCTCCCCAAAGCCCCCCGGTACATAGTTGTGTATTCTTCGTTGTGGGTTCTTCTAGTTGTGGCATGTGGGACGCCGCCTCAGCGTGGTCTGATGAGCAGTGCCATGTCCGCGCCCAGGATTCGAACTAACGAAACACTGGGCCGCCTGCAGCGGAGCACGCGAACTTAACCACTCGGCCACGGGGCCAGCCCCTGGGATTGGGTACATTTTAAGCAAAAGTTTCAATATCAAATAAATCAGTCATGGCTCCCTCTCCAATTCTGGCAATAAGAGAAAATCCTAAGTGGAAAATCTAGAGTTTTGAATGAGTACTCCTCTATTTTCTGCGTTAATACAATAAGCAGCCACTCTCTAGGGGCCATAAATCAATGCAAATGAAAACCATCAGTCAAGTCACATATTTTCCATTTTGCAGAGTACCCGTGGTTAGAAGTCTGAACCAAGACTCAACAGGTATAATAACTTTTTCAAAGTTATAATTTCATAATTCTTATAAGGCATATTATACTTCAAACCCACAGGCATAGTTTGTGAAGTTGAAATACTGAGTTAATTTGCTTTAATATCAAAACACATTACTGCTTAAAAGGTTGTTACGAAGCAAGTCAACCAATTTCACTTTATTAGACATCTGCTGCTCTGCTTATCTGAACAAGGAAACTAAGAACTTCCAGAAAGCTCCATTCAATAAGCACTGAGCCAAGCACTGGGGGGATATGAAGATTCTATGACGCATTTCCCTTCCTCTTGTGAGGAGACACCTTTATCCTTTGCTGGGAAGGCTGTTTAGTTCCAAAGTCACTGAAGATTTACTGAGATCTACCGTACGCAAGGCCCGGCGCTCTGTGCAGTCTGGCTGAGCAAATATCCTTGAAGGTGACACACTGTGCACTTCGTACACCGTGCTCTCTATGCCCGTGCTCCCGGATGGCAGTCTTCATTACTCCGCTTTTCTTTTCATATTTAAGTGGTACACTTGGCTAATTATTTTCGCCTCAGTTACATAATGAATACCCCCGAAATTCATGTGAATAACTATAGTCTGCTACTTAACCGGGTGGTATGTTATGAATATATCCATATTTACCAAACAATGCAAAAAATTATTGTTGTTATATAATAAACAATTGTGGAAACATGCAATGTTTAAAAAATTTAATTCATGCTAACATGCAATCCATTACCGCCGCCGCCACCACCACCACCACCACCACGGTAATTAACTAAAGGGGGGAACTTTTCATACTGAGGGAAAGAAGTAATCACCACTTTTTAAAAAAAGGATTATCAACAACTTACCCCCGGGGCTACTATGTGTGAAAGCAGAAAGGCAACTGAGAGATTTACAATGGAAAATCTCACTGTCAAATGCTATTTTTCTCTCTATGTACTAGCAAATGAAAATAATTTTAGCAAAGAAAAATTTGGCCAAATAGAGTCTGATTACAGAACTCCTTGCTCATTGCCATAGACGCCCCCTCCACAGACTATTTAATTCATGTTCCCAGTAGACTGGATGTGCATTTTTAAGAATACATGCACATAACAACTTGGGTATACTTCGATTATTTCTAACCTATGGGTTTTCAACATAATTGGTCATAAAATATGAAGGTTTCTCAGAAGTTTTTATTACTTTATCATGAGAATGTTGCCCCTAGAAGCTGACTATAAAATAACTGTAATATGATATTTAAGTCCCTATTCTGCCAAATTAGTTCTAAAAATAAGTATTTGAGGATTTTTAAAAATTGTCAAATTTTTTTTTAATTAAGAAAGAAATATATGGTTCATATCTTAAGTTTTCTCAATTAAAAAAAACATCTGCTCAGGATGTTAGACGTTGGGTTGTTAAAGATAATTTATTACAAAGTATCTCGGAAACAGATTTTCCTCAAAGAAAAAGGATGCACAAGTGTGGCTATAATACCGTCCGGCGTTCCAGTAACGACCAGCGCACGGTGTGCTCCTCCACTGTTTAAAAGCCACGTCGCACAAAGAGAACAGCCTTTAAAGGAAAGTGCAAGAGCTACAAACAGCCCGGGTCCACCTGGGGCCCCACTGCGTGTTTCCGAGGCGTTTACCACTTGTATCCATCCTAACCCGGCTAGAAACCGTGGCAGGGAAATGGATGCTAGGAAGTTTTTCTAATTAAAACCTCTTAGGATTTTCTTAAGTGTTCTAAATAAAGCTAAATATGAAAGACTCAGTGTTCCTAATGGGCTCCCCGTGGTGATTACCCATCCACGCAGAAAAGCTCAGCCCTCCCCTCAGCAGGTTACTTAGTCCCAAGTCACAAAGGCACAGCAGGGTGATACCTGTGTAATGAATCATAGGACCTGTTGTCAAAAACAATCTGATTTTTCCTTGGAGAATCCCGTCTATGAAGGGGAAAAACCATTTAAAGGGGTATAAAATAGAACTTTTAAGAATAATTCTCATTATGTTACTGTTTTATAGGGTTTTAGCCACAGCAAACAAAGTAAGAACTGAAGGAGTCCATAAACCTTAAAACGATCCATGTTCCAACAAAAAAAGAAGATATTTGGAGACTAACCCTAGTTATGCGAGGATACTGTTTACTTGACAATTACAGAGAATTAAAAATATCATTATGCAATGCTTACTTTTATAGACTGATGACAGTGAAACCTACCCACACACAGATTCAACAAGTATCAAAACACAATCAAAGACGTGCTATCAGTGAACGTAAAGCTACAGACTCAAGTGAAAAGCACCATGAAAATCACTGCAGCTTCGAGTACACAAACTTAACTCTTCTCATGAGGCACGTGAAGAACTTCTGATCTTGAATATAAGATCTCTAAGCTCTTAACAAAATCGCAGGAAGAGCTCACAAACTTTCCAATGTTGCATTCCAGTCATAGTTTAAAGCATTTTTTAACTATGACATTCTTGCTTTTATTCTGCCATCTGACATCGTCACTTAATATATACAGCATAATGCAACATGTCATTTATATGACAGGATTAACCCGTCTGACCACAAACATAATTTTGACATGGACATTCGGAGGAGAAACAGCGGCTTTCAGTACCGCACGAGGATGAGGCACATGTCAATAAAAACATAAAATGGCCAATGTACTCCTTTCAGAAGGAACAGGGGAGATGACTTGGAAAGAAAAGCAATACCGTTCTTAATCTTTTAAACATATTTTAAAAATCTTTTATCATCTAAAACTGTTCGCAGTGAAATTTTAAGACATACATATCAGCGGTTGGATCAAACCTGTCAAAAGGTATGAGTGGCCAGGAAATAATCGGGCATTTCAGAATTTCTACTTGGGGAAAGGAGAGGAAAACCATGCACCAGAGTCAGAACATGATTTCAGTGCACTACTAGATAACAGTAACCAATATTCAATTAATCTATGTAAAAATAGTTTTTAAATGGTGACCTTTAGAACACTTATTAAATTTCCTTTGGAAGTCTGAAAAATCTTTCAAAGAATATTTTTTCCTTCACTAAACGAACCCAAACACATCAAGGGACATATTCCATTTGGAGCAGCCTTCTAAGATGCGCCCTCTGCCGTGAACTCAGCTTTAGCTTTCGGCAGGCTCACGGTGGGACTCCTCTCCACGCGGCAGGGACGGACGAGGAGGAGAAAGAGCTCCTCCCCGTCACCACTCACATCTCAAAGGACTAATCATCGCAGTTCTGTTCTCTGACACATCCTGGATAACGAGGCCTCATAGCGTGCTACTGAAGAACATCCAGAACTATTAGACACGCATTAGAAGGCCACCTCAGTTAGGCATCTAGGAAACACAAAAATTTTTCTACTCTATCGAAACATGTCCACCAAGGGCAATTCCTGCATTTTCCTCTAAAGTCAAATACATTCATCTTTCAGTCACTTAGAAACTCCAAGCGTCTATACATTCAAAAAGGCCCAGTTTCCTCATGGAGCTTAAATAATTGTGTCATCACCAAATCTTTCCCTTACCAGCAGAAAGAACCACACAAAAATCAAATCCAAATGTTCAGATTCAGGCTAAGACAGAAGAGATTTGTGACAATATGAGGCCCTTCCTTGTATTTTTATTAGGTTTCTATAATTAGAGTCAAGTTTGCTTTTTATCAGGCAAATAGCTCAGAGAGAAAAGGCAAAAAACCTTTTAGTCTCTGAATACATACTTTTTCTGGGAAAAATGAGTCCTATAAACTATCTCATAAACCAAGAAAGGGTTTTATCCATGTTCAAGACCGGTGACATTACATTCAGTTACAATAATAAAGCATGCCTAGCTAAGGAGAGCTGGATTTGCTGACCGTGCCCAGGTGGCCCCTTGTAGAGAGACACCTTAACTAGCCTTGTTTCTGGGTATTAACTTCTCTAACCTGATTATATAGTGTCAACTGAGAGAGATATAAATCTTTCCACTTTACAAATTCAAAGTTTTAGATTTTACGTTGCTCTCTCTTAAACCCTGTAGTCTTTTCTCTCCAGCTGCTTTTCAGTTTTAAACATAAAAATTTCTCTCCACAATTACATTTACAAAATGAAGGATGTCACGGAGATTAATGGGGAACTGCGAATATATACATTACATAATATAATGGCTTAATGTTAAACTTCCTGAGAGTGATAATGCTCTTGGGGTCACATGGAGAACACCCTGGTTATTAGGAAAATGTTCAAGTATTCAGGTTGATGCAGCACATATTTGTAAAGTGTTCCCCAACTATTCAGAGGGAAAAAAGTGTGGATGTATAGGTAAGAGTTCAAGCAAATGTGGCAGAATGTTAATATAACTGGTGGATCTAGGTGACGGGTACATGGGTGTTCACGATGCTGTTTTCTCAACTTATCTGTAGTTTTGAATTTTTCAAAATTAAAACACTGGGAAGAATAAAAGCTATCTAAAAATTTGAGAGAAACTGTCAGATAATAATAAGCATACGGTAGAATTTAAGACAATCACTAGTAAAAATATCATGGGGCTCAGTGGTTGTCCAACAATAGGATTATAGTGTCTTCTTTGCTCCTTGTACAATTTCCGATCTACCGTTTGATTTTTTTCTACAATAAAGATGCAGATGTTAATTTCTCTTTCGACACAAATGTAACAAAGTTGATACCTGGAGATGACGGGCGACTTGCTGCCATTCATTGTGTTTGTTCTTTCCCAAGGTTTTCTCGTTGGTTCTTTAAAAATAAAGAACATAAGTTAGTAACTATCTTATATGTTCCCAGAGATATTGTAAAACAAATAACAAAATACTAAATCTCAATATCATGTTAATGTAGCAATATAGATAAAAATTTTTTAATTTTAATTCTGAACTTTAAACTCTATACAGATTCTAAATTGTATTAATTTCAGACCTCAAAATGAAAAGAAATAAGCAAGTGAGACAAGCTTCCTTAGGAAAAACTTAGATTAAGTCTAAAGTACTATCATTCTAGGGCCAGCCCCGGCAGCCCCGTGGCTCAGTTCGGTGCGCCCAGGTTCCAACGCCACTCATCGGCGTCCACACTGTGGAGGTGTCCCACATACACAAAGAAGACTGGCACAGATGTTAGCTCAGGGCGAATCTTCCTCAGCAAAATAATAATAATAATAACCAAATCTATACACCAGAGGGTAAGAGATTCTCTAGTACAGATACGATAATAGGAATAAGAACAGGATAATTTTAATTGGAATGGAATAGTATAAATTATTTGAAATTAATAAGGATAGTTAAATTTGTTAGATGGGGTAGTATTGACTATACTATTTACTAAACTACTTTTAGTGCCAGCGGTAAAACAAAAAGTATAATCTTTAATATGTTCATGTACTTCAGTATTTAATCTAAATTCAAATAGCCCTCTTGAAAAAAAAATTCAAACAACTCAACACAAACTTCAGAATCAAGTTCTACTGTACTTCCTTGATGCTCAAACAACCAATACTCGGGACTTAGTGGACAACTCCAGCTAAATATAAATAAGCTCAGGCTAAGCTCTTATTACAGAAGACCTACACAGTGACGCACTGGTCAGCAGTCTACGGTGCTGTGAACCGCTGCTCTAATTTGGGCCGACCCACTGAGGCATCACAGGCCTCACTCACGACTGGGTGACACTGGGAGTGGCATCCTGTCATGGAAGGAAGCATCTGGGCCACATGGGAATCGAGTCTAAGTCTGAGTAGTGATCTCACTGCCCAGTTTTCCATTCCTTTTCTTTTTTCCTGAGAAAGACTGTCCCTGAGCTAACATCTGTGCCCATCTTCCTCTATTTTATGTATGGGATGCTGCCACAGCATGGCTTGATGAGTGGTGTAGGTCCCCGCCTGGGATCCGAACGCGCGAACCCCAGGTTGCTGAAGCAGAGCGCGTGAACTTCACCTCTACGCCCGTCACTGCCCAGCTTTAACCAGGAAACTCTCCACTGAGTTCCAATGTGGCCCCTCAGCTGGCTTCTGCACGTTCTCACCGACATAGCTCGTCCTCTCTTCAGTCTACACAGATGCAAAACTAAACTCAAACCCGCCCAGGAAACACGGCCTTTGGTGTGGATTTCTGCCGAGTTCAGTCACGTGGTGTGAAACCTTAGTCGGCACTGATCTTGCTTTACTCCTCTCTTCAATCAATCATCAACTCTCCCCTTCAAATTACACTTTGCCATTCCTTCTTTTGTATTCTAACCGCTAACACATCTCTCAGTGACCACCACAGAGCAGGCCAGGGGACATCAGCTAAGCAGAGGAGGTCCAGGACAGACAGAATCAGAAATACACCCACAAAACACCAGCCAGAGGAGGCGAAGAGGGAAGTCCTGAACGACACTCAAGGACAACTGGACAGGCAGGGGAATGGTCATCAGGACATCGTCGCCAAAGAAGAGGTAGGCAACGAGATGAGGAAATAACTCCAAGGCACCAAGAGGTAGCGAGTGCTGCCGTTTAACGGCTGGCTGAGGTCCCTTCTCAATCGGCCAAACCAGAACTATTTAACCTTAAGAGAGCTGCTCTGGTTTTGAGGAAGAGCAGGTCAGTTCAGCTCCACAGGGAGAGCGGTCCCCTTCTCTCCACGGGGCTCCAGGCTGCTCTCAGGAGGAAGGACAGAGGCTGGGCTACCTCCACCAGGATCCCTACTGGCACCAGTTCCCCTATCTCGGTCCTGCTCACAGCTGCCATTTTAATGTTCCTGAAACAGCTTCAGCTGGTCATCAACTCGGTCCTCTCAGGATAAAGTCTAAGCTCCTGATCTCCCATAAAAGGCTTTCAACGTTTTGGTTCTAACTCACTTTTCCAACCTTTTCCCCCAATCCGCCTCAAAAAGAATTCTCTGTTCTAGGCAGGCAAGTCTACTTAGCATTTCCTGGTCTCTTCTTGCTCCTCTCCAGCCCCCCTTCTTTGCTCACGCTACGCCCACTTCCTGACGTATCACCCCTCCTCTGCTTTCAGCCAAACTACATACTCTTCAAGCCACAGCAAAATGTCCTATTTCTCTCCAAAGACGACCGAGGCCACTCCAAACTCTAGGACCCCCTCCCTCTTTGACACATTATTTAACGTTCAACATGTGGTCATGAAAGATTAGCTTTTCACTTGTCTGTGTCTTGACTTCCCAGGAACTCTAGAGTTTCTCGTGCTCAGGGCAGCAATTTCACTTCTTTTTGGCCTGTCAAGTGTCTGACACAGGCCAATTACAAAAAAAAAAAAAAAAACACCTGAATGAAACAAGTGAAAAAAGAAGCCCCCAGTCGTGCTGAACGAATCCCTGATTTTATACATACGGCACACACGATGCAAACACACACACACCATCCATGCTTTAGTTTTCCGTCTTTTAAATAAGGAGATATATATGAGGCAAGGAATTCTTAACTTGGGGTCCATGGCTAACCTTTAATTAATTCATGAACATTTTGAAATTATGAGCAAATTTATATGAATATTCCCTGGGGAGAGGATTCACAGCTCTTTTCAAATCCTAAAGGCTTCTGTGACCCCAAATTACAGTTGAGTTCCAAAATATCTGCGGTCTTAAAAACAGCATATATAATTAATTTTGGCTGATAGAAGAAAAATAAAGCTAAAATCAGTGGGTCACAAACTAGAGAATTTTTGACGAAAATTAATGTAAACTGACTTGAGTCCTTTTCAGAGGAAAAACAAGGAGAGCTGAGGAAAAATAGCTCACAAATCCACAATGTACCTATAATTCAGCAATCAAAAGACTACTCCACAGTCTCGATTCAATAACGAGAATGAGAGGTTGGGGCTTTTTCGTTGCAAATGGGTTAAAATCACAAAAACCGAAGTATCTTTTCTAAAAAGTGGAATCTGGAGGCAGCTGGGGGTCTCCAAATCACGACGTAGGAATTAATATAGATATTTCTCTAAAATGGTTACCTATGGATCATTCTAGATATTAATTCATCAAAATCATCAAATTTATTTATGTGATCTAATTCCAAATTGGATGAAGAGGTGAATAGATAGTCCAGCTCTTAGCCTTTCAGTCAAATATGAAGAAATGACATGTACATTTGTAACAATCTCATATTCTCATCACAGATACAGTACTAAGTGCCTCCAGTGAAATATATTTTGTTAATATTCTAAGTAATATATTCTATGTCCAAGAGTTGTCAATGTCACAAATTTCACCAAATTCAAGAACATTTCCCAAAAGCTTTAAGGAGATTTTTTTCTACCTTACAAATTAGAAGCTTTATTTCCTTGATTATCAATATCACCCAAATGAATGTTAAAATGACAAGCTTCTCAATTTGAGAATGTTCTGAAATAGACTTCAATGCTAGCTGACACACTTACTTAATCTTTACCCTCAAGAATCAATTATTAAAAATACTTCCCTTTTCACCTGATAATGTATTTTTCTTTGTTTTACTGAACGATGTCAAATCATTAACAATAATACACATGGAATCTGTAAAAATTATGATTTTCAAAGACACAGTCATCAGGAAAGAACTCTGGGTTTTACCGGGTCTCCCAAAATCAGAAAGGAATTAATAGCTATTTCCGGGATCAGAAAGGCAGAGGGAAAAACGTCAGTGCTTTCAAGCGTGAACAAAGAACCTGAACATTTCAGTGACCACGCAGTCACTTGATCCAAACGTGGGGAAATTGGGATTTTTAACTGGGGAGTAGTAATATTTAGAGAAAGTTTTTAGGTTAAAACACATCTCTTGAACTTACCAGGTGTACTTGTTGAAGACGCCTTAGAAGTCACAGGCTCTGAGTCTTCCTAAATGAACAGAAATATGTATTAATGACATCAGATCAAGGAGACGCCTGTTGTACATATTTACTGTTTAAATTTCCATGTCCAGCCTTCTTTCTGCCACTCCCACCTTCCCTTCATCAATCTTCTCTCCCTCTCTCCAAGTTCAGGCTCTTTTTTCTCCTACCCTCCTACATTCCCCACGGCTCCTTCCTCGTGTGTTGTCATGGAGCACTGCACCAGCCAATGTTACTGAGCCAGATCTAAGGGACAGACTTGAGGAATGGACCAAAGAAGGCTAATACAGCAGGGAAAACAATTATATCATTTGTCAAACACCCATACATAGAACAGAGAAAGCAGTTTGCCCAGGTGAACTGGGGAGGGGGCACGAAGGTTACACTCAAGCTAACGACCACAGGGCTCCTGGGGGAAATATCTGAAAACCGTTCACTTCGCTTCATTCCTTCACTTTAAATGCAAAGAAACTGAAACTCTAAGAGTAAAAAAGAAAAAAACCTGGTAGCAGGTCATGTACTCATTTACTGGTGGGCTTAGGTATGGTTCTAAACTCTACAGGTTTGAACTTGAGTGTTTTTCCCATAACTCCACACATTCAACCCATTTTACTAAAAGGACCATTAAAAATTTGCTCAAAACAAGCGATTTTTAATATCTGAGGAGTTAAAAACAAGTAATTGTGGACTCAAATTAATGAAATTCACACTAATCTTTGACACGATTTCCTGAATGAGGTGTTCCTGAATTTCACATTTTTACGTGTAGTAGACTATAACTTACATTTTTGTCCTCTTTTTGATCTGTGTCTATTGTTGATCCCTTTTCAGCAATTCTTCTCCTAGAAAGAAGGTAAACTGCATTTTTTAAAAAGTCATCCAACTCTTAGTGTTAAAACTACTTCTTCAAAAGGGAAGAATTGCATCTAGTTAAATTATATTTGAATAAAATTAACAAAATCCTCTCAATTCTGGAGACATCCACACAATTTCTCACTTACCTCCTGGCCAGCAGGGCACTCATTTCTTCCATTAAACCACTACCCCCTAAAGGAAGGGGTCCATTTCCACGACCTGAATCTGTTTTAGATGAGGCCGAATTCACGCCAATGGTACTCCCTCCGCTTGGGACAGAGGCATCCTCCATCTTAATGAGAATATACATCATCATAAACTCCTATGTTAGACAATCCTACATTTATTAATAGATTACATTCAAAACAGAAGGAGACATCAGCATGAACGTCAATAAACACAGTTAAATATTATTATTATTCTGCTGGGAAAGGCTTGCCCTGAGCTAACATCTGTTGCCAATCTTCCTCTTTTTTTTTCCCCTCCCCAAAGCCCCAGCACATAGGTGTATGCTCCAGTTCTAATTCCTTCTAGTTCTTCTGTGTGCGCTGCCACCACAGCATGGCTACTGACAGGCAAGCGGTGTGGCTGCAAGATGGGGAACCAAATCCAGGCCACTAAAGTGGTGAGAGCACCGAACTTCAACCACTAGGCCATGAGGGCTGGCTCTAAATATCATTTTGTACATTTTCTTAAGAACCAATGGAGTAAAGAGCATTGACTTTATATCAATGGCAGTTTTATAAAAGGTAACATTACAATGGGACGAAATGCTAATATCACCAGGTGTCTCGTGTGATACACTGAAGAGGACATGTTACTTCGGTGGTAAAAAATGCATCACCCAAATCTAATCTTGAGGAAACACCAGACAAACCAAACTAAATGATATTCTAAAAAGTAATTGCTTTATGGTATTCAAAAATGTCAATATCATGAAAGAAAGATTAAGGAATTCTAACAGATTAAAGTAAAATAAAGACATATTACAACTACATGTAATGAGTGATCTTAGATGAAAAAAACATTTGCCATAAAAGACATTATGGGACAATAGACGGACTTTAAATAGATTTGTAGATTATAGTATTCTAGCAATGCTAAATTTCTTGGTTTTGATAATTATACTGTGGTCATGTAGGTGACTGTCCTTGTTCTTACAAAATACACACTGAGGCATTTAGGGAAATGGGGCACAGTGTCTGACTTCCTCTCAATTCAGACAAAAAGAGAGCGTTTATAGAGAAGCAAATGTAGACAAAGAAAGAATAAAGCAAACGTGGTCAAATGTTAAGTGGTGAATCTGGCTGGTGGTTTTACAGAAACTCTTTATATTATTCTTAGGACTTTTCTGTAAGTTTAAATTATTTCAAATTTTTTAATCGATGAAGTTAATAAGCTTCATAAAATTAGAATACAATAAATTCAGTATTTTAGATATTGAGACAGGATAAGACATATATAAAAAATACAATCATTTGGAAATGCATTTACCCGCGACACTTTCCTAAGCTTTGCTCCAGCAATTGCAGCTGCAAGTCCAGTTAAAGGGCGATTGTCTTCCGACATGGATGCCGCAAAAAATCCAGATGCAGGGAGAGGAGGAGCGGGCGGTGGTGGAGGCGGAGGGGGGACTTGGTTAGGAAGAGGGGGTGGCGGAGGTGGAGGCGGAGGCCCTGAGGATGGAAGAGGAGGGGGTGGAGGGGGTCCTGGGGGTGGAGGGAGTGTGGCTGAAGCCTGGGCAGGACCTGGTGGGAGGGGAGGCGGGGGTGGAGGTGCAGGTGGTCCCAAGACAATGCCTGAGAGATAGAAACGTTAAATAAGACCATCAACATTAGAGCTAAGTGATAATATTTTATGAGGAAAGGTATGCAGAATGCCAAGCTAAATTAAACTCACTCAAACGTTACTACCTGTTAACGAGTTCCATTTACCATAATGTTTTAAGTCTAGATCAGTATTAAAAAGATACTGAAATGTAAAGCCGAAGTGTATAACTACTTACACACTTTATTAATAGAACTATGCAATAGATTTAATTAGATTTTTTGGTTGTTGTTTATGGGGATTTGCTAAATAAACAAAATAAACCCTTCTAAAGTTTGGGAGGGAGGCAGCCTCCGTAAAAAGTAAACTAGTGTACATGACGGCAGTTAGTGCTATTTGAACTAAGAGAGCCAAAGTAATCTGTGCAGACCTTAATTCTGGACACAATAAACCCCACAATAGTGAACACGTATATTACTTGTTTATAGATAGCCAAAGTGACTGGAGTGAGAATACGAAGGGGGGGTGGGTCCCAGGCTTCAATTTCTCAAAACATTCCACGTCTAAATCCAATGTGCGGCGAGAGCTGAGAATCACCAACGTAAAGGAATCTACTAGTACAACGCAAAACCTCAGGCTAACTATCAGAAATAATTAAATGCCATGGAATTTGAAGTGCAGAGTTTTTTCAGCCTGGAAGACGGGTGGTAAGAGAGAAATGTCCAAATCTGGTGCAGTCCACAAAGGGAGTGAACAAGAACTTATTTACTATCAGGAGACTGAACTAGCCGGTACTCTTTTCCTTAAAAGCTTAAATGGGCGTTTTAGGACAAATAAAATGCTATTTGTACACTGAGTGGAAAATTTTTTTAAGCTGCTAACTTTGAGCAGTTACACAAGCTGAAAACAAAAATTGCTCAACGAAGAGTACTACGGGGCACCAGGCTGTCAATCTGCCCCGCGTCCCTGGAGCTCTGAGGACAGAGCACGAAGGCCACTTCACCTATCAGCGCACTGTGCCTCTGCAGCCCAGCAGTCCCGTCACAGCGATAACTGAAGCGCACGGTTCAAGGTATATGCAAATCCGCTCAGTCAACAGGAAAAACAGATACACAGCAATAACAACCCTTGGTACTTTATCTTAAGAACTAAGGTTTTTTAAAAGAGGTGTGTTTAAATCCAGACTATGACACTGTTTCTTTGTAAGTACCAATTTGTTGTCGTATTCCTTCCTGTAATTCTTGCTAAATCCTATTAAAAAAAAGAGGAGGAGGAGGAGGTCGCTGGACATCTTCTTATTTACTTACAGAACCAGGTCCTTCTGTGCTTACAAATAATCCATCTTAGAGGACTGCATCCTCCCTGCCCTGCTGCCATGACAGTGAGGTTCAGGCATGGGGAAGGGACACTACAGAGGAGGCTACTCTCCCAACGATCCCTTCAGCCTGTTACTTCTCATGATTCTGGACCCTCAAAACTGGAGGGTCTATTTTGAGGGTTTCAAAAATGGAACCCTTTGGGACATATGTCAAGCCTGCCACCCTCCAGCCCTCCTGCAGTCAGGCTGCTCCAATCCCTGGAAAGTCCAATATGGGAGGCCCAGCACAGGAGAGCCCAAGATGAAACAGGTCCACCATCAGAACTGTTCCAGAGGGGCCTCCAGGAAGATGTACACGATGATTACAGTTGGGCACTAAATCTCTAAGTTTCCCAGAAATTAAAAGAAGACAAGTTAGGCCATAAATTTATTACACAGATCAAATGAGTCACGTAATGTTTTCCTAGTGAAATTTTTAAAAAATGTATTATGAAGGCCCTTAAATACTGGAAAACACCTCCAATTATGATACTACAGAAGATACCAAAATCTAGTTCAATATGGAAATTCCTCACATCGATCCTTTAAATGCAATTAATTCAAGAGAGAAAAAAAAACATTCATTTTCTTTCTTTTTTTTTTTTTGGTGAGGAAGATGGGCCCTGAGCTAACATCTGTGCAATCTCCCTCTATTTTGTATGTAGGACACTGCCACAGCATGGCTTGATGAGTGGTGTGTAGGTCCGTGCCCGGGATCCAAACCCAAGAACCCCGGGCTGCTGAAGTGAAGCATGTGAACTTAACCACTACACCCCCGGGCTGGCCCTGCTTTAACTTGTTAAATTACAAAAAATATGGTACTACGGCATAAAGATGTTCAATCATCAAAACCATCCTCCCCACTCTTCCAGGCAGTTAAAGTTGCCGATGTGGAATACTTTCAAGTGGTTAGCTGTCAGCGGCAATGACGGAAGCCTTACCCTGTTGGGCTGGAGTCTCGGCCGGCTGAGAGGCTGCCTGCAAGCCTGGCTCAGAAGCAGAGGAGTCTCCCAGCACAGAGTTTAGAGGAGTCTCCACAGAGGCGGGGGCAGCTGCAGGGGGAGAAGGGAGAACACTAGGCTTGGATGAGGGAGTTGAGGCAACGGGGGTGCTCGGAGGAGGAGAGGCTTGAGATCCACAGTGTGCGAGTGGCGCGAGGGAAGGCAGTGGAGGTGGCGGAGGCGGCGCTGCGGGCCCCGAGGTAGGCGGTGGAGACACTGGGTATGCTACCGAGTCAAGCAGCCCGTTGGGTGCGGTTGGTGATGGAGGCATTTGGGGCACAGGAGAAGAAACACAAACAGGGAGGACAGGCCTTGGACCCGTAGCTTTGCCTGGGGGGCTGCTAATCATGACTGGAGGAGACGGAGGGAGGGGCGAGAAATTGGAAGGAGACCAGGCACAGGGCTTCGCAGCTGGAGGCTGAGAGGAGGGTGTGTTCACAGGAGAAGAAGGCCGAGAGTTTCTGTTCAGAGGACGAGGAACTGTAGCGTAATGGGGAAGAACAGGGTGGAAGGCTGAACCTAGAGATGTTGCAAAACGGGTCGCTGGGTGTCGAAGTGGTGGTGTGGGGGGTGTGGAAGTAGGTGGCAAAGCGGTCACTACGGCATAGTCAGGAGTGGCCTCTGATACTGGAGCTGAGATGACTTTAGCATATGATGGAGGAGGTGCTGAAGGAGGCTGGCAACTGGCATACTCAGGAAGTGGAGCACTATACAGGGAGCTGTCTGAAGATGGAGCTGGGCAGAGGTGGGAAGCGGCAGCAAGAGACAGGGTAAAAAAGGAGAGAGAAAAAGGGAGCGAGTGAAGCCACGAAACCAGCATTCAGACGGAATGTACAAACGCACACTACAGTTAGTACAGAGAATTAGCCACAAGTGCAAACACCTAATCTCACCCCAGAATACTGTAACTTATAAACACATTTTGAGATCCAGAAGAGGACGAAATAAGTTTTGTTTTTATCTAACAAGTAGATTGATAAATTACATCGATTAGTTTAACCTTTACAAGAAAAAGACAGTAGTCTTAATTTTCATTATTTAGTCCACTAGGAGGACGTTAAGATTACATGAATAGGACCACAAGCAGAAGAAGAAGTTTAGTTGTTTTTTTCAAAACAACAAATAGCAAAACTGGCAAATATTTATTATAAAAGGCTAGGAACCCGCTATTCAGTGTTTATTTGCAGAAAAGTTTTGTTTTGCTGGCTATAACACCAGAAAATAGTTAGGCAGTTAAAAATAAATGCATTAACTCAAACAACAGACCAGTCAACCAATATTGAATCAACCCACATCGAGACTTTTCACATAAGCTACATGGAATAAAAAAATAATTCTTAAATCCTATAATAAATGTTAATTTTAATGAATGTAAAAATATCTCAAACTTTCAGTTATATCTTAACCCTTAGGGTCCTTCAATAAATTATATAAATAAGTAAATCCATCAGATCTAGTAATTTTCTCTAATTTTTTGCAATACTAGAAAATAAATGTAAATAGTCAGTTTTAGAGAGGGTATTTTCACCTACTGCCTTTAATTCCTCTTTCAAAAACTTTGGAATACAATGAAGAAAATTTCTTGCTGAATGATACTGTAATACTACAGTATTCAAGACAATTTTAAGCAATCTCAAAAGGGAAATATATTCCAAGTTCATCCAATATAAAAATTTCCCCATAAAAACACACTTTACACTTTATAGCCAATTTATAGGGAGTCAGAAGAATTAGAATGGCAGAATAAAAATTTCTAAGAGCTTTCGTCAAGTCTCCAAGCAATAAAAGCAATACAGAGAGAAATAAAATGTTCAACTGCTTGCATATTTTTCCTAATTTCCAATCGTATCGCTTAATCCCAAGCATCTCCAATGGGAAATGTTCTAACATGTGAATACACAAACCCTCAGCCACCACCAAGCTCAGACATCAAGAACGCAGGACAACGTGTCAACTTCTTACCAGCATTCGATACTCTTCGCTCTCGCTCCCATTCCAACTGCTCCCTTTCTAGCTGCTCCTGCCGCTCTCTCTCCTGCCTCTCCCGGTCCAGCCTCTCCAGCCGCTCGCGCTCCAGGCGCTCCCGCTCCAGGCGCTCCTGCCGCTCCTGCCGCTCCCTTTCCTGTCTCTCTCTCTCCAGCTGCTCCTGCTCTAGTCGCTCCCTCTCCAGTCTTTCCCTTTCTAGCCTCTCCCTCTCCAACCTCTCCCTTTCCATTCTTTCTCTCTCCAGCCTTTCCCGCTCCAGCTCCTTTTGTCGTTGCTGTTCTTGTAGTTGCCTGAAATGGAAAACAACAAAAAAAATATGCATCTATGGCTACTCATCATTAAAAACCTATTCCTTTCACAGTGAACCTATGTGAACCTTATCTCTGACTCGAACACAAAGCTTTGGAGAGCATGCAGTCAACATCTCTCCTCCCACCGGAGGAGGGCAACTTTAGATAGAGATGACACATTCGTTTCATAGAAATGAAAACAATTCCTCTTCTCAAGACCATTTTTGGCTGAATGCTTCAGCACATTACACTAATCTCACTTTATTCTGTACTTATCATGAATAAAGTGTTGCAAATTCATGCATTTTCCAAGTAACTGAACATAGCACTAACAACAAGTCATTAGTTTAATCAATTATTGAAAAAAATTTCTAAGTTGTCATTTCCTTCCTAAAACATAACATGAAATTTTCATTGTACAAGTAATATACTATTATTATATAATATTAGGAAATACACTGGCTGGTCACAGCAATAGCTCAATAAAAGTTTGCTGAATGAAAAAAAATACACAGTTAAGAAAGAAGGAAAGAAACAAACTGAAATCATCTCATATTCAAAGGTTAACTATAATCAACATTTTGGCATTCATACCTCCAGATTCTCCTCACGTAAAAATATACATATAAACTTTAAAAACCAAATAAGACAAAATACTATTTCCCGATCGCTCTGAAATCTACGTTCTTCTCTGCCATTTAAGATACTGTAAAAGGTTATTCCAAGGCACTCAGCATAGTTTCGCATCGTGGTTTTTCAGGAGTGCATAGTGTTCTGTGGCTAAGCTGTCCGTGTGCAAGCAGTCTCCTACGGCAGGATGTCAGCTAGCCTAACACCATTACTAACACCGCAGCAAACATTTATCTCCATTGATCTTTGGACCCTTTCTAACTGCTTCTTAAGGATCACCACTGATGACCAGATTTGCTGGGTGAAAAGGTATAAATATCAAGATTTTTGATACACGGTTCCAAACTGTCTTCAGGAACAGCTGTGCCAATTAATACTCCCAGCAGCCCAGCAGTATATGAGAAGGCCCCCTTCCTTTCCCTCACTGACACCGAACATGACTGTCGTTTTAATCTGCTAACATGACTGATGCCACATAACAGTTTGCATTGTTAAGTACTTGGAACCTGTTCACTGATTCTGCACATGGGTACTGTGAAATGACGGCACACAGTCTCCCCCAGTTTTCTCTTGGGATAGATAATATTCCATATTCATTTGAAAGAGGTCTTTTCTATATGGAAGATAATAACCCTTTATCACATGTTAGGCATGTGCATTTTAACTTTTACTCTTTTTTTTTATGTCTTTGATTTTAGAAGTTGTTCTGCAATACGGCTGTTATTTTTATGTAGAGGATCAAGGAATAACATTCCTTTGTGTGATCCTCCCTTGATATCTTTCTAAGGCAGCCCTTCCCCATAGCAAGATTATATAATCACTGACACTTTCTTTAAATACTTGTATCTTTTCTACTAAGATCCTGACTTCCTGTGAAATTTACCCTGGGTTGGAGACAGGAAGTAGTGATCTACATCATAGCACCGTTTATCGACAGCCCTGATTTAAGATGCCACCTTTCCATGAGTTGACTTTCTAACTTCCAGGATGTTTCAGGTCACAGATCTGTTTGCCTTCTATGCACCAGTATCTGGATATTTCGATGTCTGAAATAGTCATTTAAGGACGGGCACATGTTCTGAGAAATGCATTGTTATGCGATTCTGTAGTTGTGCGAACAACACAGAGTGCACTTACACAAATCTAGACGGTGTAGCCTCCTACACACCTAGGCTGCATGGTACTATCTCAGAGGACTACCATCATACATGTGGTCCATCGTTGCTCGAAATGTCATTACGTGGCGCATGACTATATACTTTAACATCTAGCAGGGTGCATCCATCCTTATTGCTCTCCTTTTGTTTATTTTTTATTAAGACTATGATAGTTTACAACCTTGTGACATTTCAGTTGTACACTATGGTCAGTCATGTTGTAGGTGCACCACTTCACCCTTTGTGCCCACCCCTCCTTGCCCCTGGTAACCACCAATCAGTTCTCTTTGTCTACATGTTTAACTTCCACCTATGAGTGGAGTCATACAGAGTTTGTCTTTCTCTATCTGGCTTATTTCACTTAACATAATACCCTCAAGGTCCATCCATACTGTTGTGAACGGGACTATTTTATCCTTTTTTTTGGCTGAATAGTATTCCATTGTATATATATATACCATATCTTCTTTATCCAATCATCAGTTGATGGGTACTTAGGTTGCTTCCATGTCTTGGCTGTTGTAAATAATGCTGCAATGAACCTAGGGGTGCATGGGACTTTTGGAATTGCTGATTTCAAGTTCTTTGGATAGATACCCAGTAGTGGGATAGCTGGATCGTATGGTAGTTCTATTTTTAATTTTTGAGAAATCTCCATACTGTTTTCCATAGTGGCTGCACTAGTTTGCATTCCCACCAACAGTGTATGAGGGTTCCTTTTTCTCCACAACCTCTCCAACATTTGTCACTTTTTATTTTATTTTTGCCATTCTAACAGGTGTAAGGTGATATCTTAGTGTAGTTTTGATTTGCATTTCCCTCATGATTAGTGATGATGCTTATTGCTCCTCTTTTTGAGTTTTTCTAGATAATTCTCAGACATTTGGCTTTTCTAGGTAAATTTTAGAATCACTTTGTTAAATTTACGCTTTCTCCCAAGTCTCATCCTCTCAATTCTATTAATGTTTTATTAAATTTGAAGATAAACTAGAAAAACATTCACATGTTTTTATCTCCATATCTTGAACATACGGAATGTCTCAGTGTTTATTCAATTCAATTAAAAACCTTCTTTAACTCTCGGACTTCAAATGCTGACTACATGTATTGAAACCTACAGAGGCTTACAGTATGTGGCTCTAAAACACTCATAAAAATCAAACACAAAAGTTTGCTTTTTACCTTCCATACACATATGTATGAAAGAGCATGAAAATGTCTCCAGGACCCACACCTGCGCCTAGACGATCATCTTGCCGTACAAGCTAACTCTCCCTTAAATAAAAAAAAGGACTCTTCACCTTACACGTAATACATTCCGTAGCTCTGTGGGGAAGATTAAATGAGGTAGTCAGTGCCTTAAAAGCGCTTTAAAAAGTACCCAGAGCATAAGAATGCTCAATAAATGTCAGCTATAATAATAATAATTTGGAAACGTCAATGGGACTTTCTCTGGGCTAACACGTGTGGCAGCACTGAATGACAGAACATGTCTGCTACCCTTCTTCGTTCCTCCTGGTAGTAGCAGTAAACCAGTAAGATCTTTCCAGAATGTCTCCCCTTCACGTTTCCTAAACTGACTATAAAACAAACAAAGAAGCCCACTTAAATAAATCAATCCCACTTCTCTCACAAAAACACAAAGCTTCTCTCTGGATACAGCACCATACTTAATAATGGCAAGAGAAAAACACAAGAAACCGAGGTATCACTTATTATGAGTGGCAGCTGTTTAAGATCCTGACTGCTAAATAAAATAATCAGATTTTCAGAATCTAATACCGACTTCATTACGCTATTTGATAAGCCACTAGCTGCCAACGTTCCTGAGGGACAACATATCACTGGGGGAAGAGGGCAAGAAATTAGGTGCATTCACAAGAATTTTTTTAATAATAAACTAGACAGAGAAAATCAGTTCTTACTTTTTTAATAACCTGCATCTAATGAATAAACTCACCTGGGGATTATATGTATTAAATTTAAAGCATACAATATGCATCAAAAAATAAGGCCGTTTTAAACGTAATACTCTATCTATTGGGTCCAAAAGGCAGAAGATACACCCACACTACTCTAATTAGAATACACCTGAATACAGAAGCTAAGGGAAAGTATGTAACTTTCGAGGACAGTGGCTGCACCAAGAAATCTACGATAAAAAGATCCACGTTATTGAGTCCTTTTACATTCTGTGCCACCTGTTTCACTTTATTTGATCAAAATAGAATGAGCACAGTTTTTAAAGCTTGTAACAAAAACCAGCAATTCACTGCCCTGACCCTCCCACCCGTTTCTAACACATCAGAGACGATTAGTGTCAACTCTTCTAGCTGTTTCTCATGTTTTAAACTTTAGATATTACTTACTGACTTTCTAATAAGAAGGTGCCTCTTGCAACCCCGTCCTCACGCACAAGCTTCTTCCGATAGAGTCATGAGAGACTATAGATTTCTGGGTAAGTCAATACTCAGAGTTAACGTTATTAATATAATAATCTAAATAGTGCTCACAGCTGAAACACAGTATTTCTAAGATTACATTTCATTTCTTATCCAAGTTCTTTGTTTTTCTGCCCCTAAGTTACTGTCTGCTTCTCTCAGCAACACAATGCTTTTAACATAAAAAGTAAGCTTAATCACAGGTAGACGGCCAGGGACGCGTAAAGTGAATCAGAGAATTACCGAACGACGACATTTACAACTAGGATGTCCCAACTTAGGAAGATGGTTCCACATACCATAATATTCTAGGGTTTTCTGTCTAGAAAAGACGAAGAGCATCTACTGAGGCAGGAAGAGAGCACAATGCCAGAGAGATCTCCCAAGTTCACTGACAGATGACTAAAGCAGGCAGTTCACACAACTGCAGATCTGCTGTCTATTTTCTTGGTTTGAAGGTAAGAAAGGAAAGCGTTAAAAGTCCCCAACAATATTTAGCCCGCTCACTGAAAAGACGCACAGCTACATATATTTCCCAACGTAGTGTGTCAGACAGAAAAATCCCAGGCTTACAAATCTTTAGCGGCATGAATAATTCCCACCTAAACTGGAGAGTATATAAATCTTCCAACTTTCAATGTTTTGACCTCTAAAGCAGGACATTTGTTTATCTTTTTAGGGAAACAGTTTCCAAACTTATAAACTCTGCTTTTCTTAGAAATATCACTGCCAACACTCAGCCCGGAAACGCACGTGACTCTTCTTCCTAGAG